AAAACCCTATTCTTGACTAAAAACAGAAGATAAACTTATTTTTTAAGCTTAAATATCAAGATCGATTTCACTTTATGTGTGCTTTCAATGCCATCGAAAGTAACTGGAAAGAGGGCCACGGGGAAAGTCGAGAGCAGAGCGTCACTTTCACTTCAAAGGACACAGGAACCGCCCACTGACGTAGATGGGTTGTCAATCCCAGTCCATCGTCCGTTGTTCGCTGAAGCGCATAGCGGAAATCAGACGCCATATCGGGCGGACATGTTTGACAAGGCCCGAGCGGAAATGGAAAGCTGGGCAAAAGTACTGAGATTACAAAAATGACTAGGTAAATATACAAACAGAGATAAATCTCGAGTTGCTGCAGGCCAATAAAACGCAGTCAGTGCATTGTCCATTGAACGACTTTCATGCCAAATATAGATGTAACCCAAGTCAGTTGAGGAACCATCACAATCGATTTCAAATTTGCAGTAAAAATGCAAATTCCAGATATAGGGAGTGGAGCATGCGAGGGGTCAAAGTTCTCCTATTTGACTAAGTTTCGATTTGTCAAATGCATCAGACATAGGCAAAAACAGAGTCACGCCGTATACGCAAATGACACAGCTGCAGTTCCACTTGTGGATACATTACCAGTTGCAATTTCAGTTGCATACACAAACATATATGTATTGAGAGCGTTTCAGTTTCGGTTTGAATTTAGCTTGAGATATGATTGAAATGCATTTTCCATAGATTTATTTGATCCAGACTGATTTGGGTTACATTGTTTGCTCTTATAGTTATTACATTGTTTGCTCCTTAACTTTATTACAGTATTTATTATAGCCTACCTATTACTTTACTAATCATTTTAACTTTAAAAAATAGTTTTAAGTGCAACACCGAATAGATTATATATGACGGAATAAAAAAAATATTTTTATATTTAAAATATGAAAATCAATATTCATATGTTGCACCCATTGGATTTGTGATGCGTTTTTTTCCATTGCGTTCCTTGGAAGCCAGCTTCGTTGATGACGTTTATATCTGCAACTTCTCGCTCTCCCCTGAGACGGTATGTCATCTGAAATCCATTGAGCGTGACGTATGAGTATGACATTCTTAGGGGTTCATGCGGAATGTTTTGCTCCATAGTACCCACCCACTATGTCAGTCTGACATGGTCTATTAATTTTATTAGTGTCATTGCATACAGCTTAAGTCTCAGAGTTCTGATCCCCCCTTGCTGCGGAGTGCTTTTTTGTGGGGAAAATTCTCATTTAGCCTTCTGCAGTCCTTGACTTGCAAACACAAAAAATTGCAGTAAATTTCATCAGCCACAAAAATGTCCAAGGCAATATATATTCTCAGAAGAGTTTTCCATAAGGAACTTATTTTCGCTTAGGTTGCAGGTTGCAAAATACTACCGAATTATTTATTCTCTCCCAGCAGAATGTAGGACTCTTATATTTTATGATTTATTTGTTGCATTAGTGAATGCGTTAGCAGCTATACAAGGCGTCTATCAGGGTTGCTGGAATTTTAAAATCATAAAATAGTTAATAAGAAAAATATTTAAAAGATGCCCATCAATATGCATTAAAATAACTGAATATGCTTTAAGAATTATAAAAACGTCGTACACTCTTTGTTCAACTATTTTTATACCCTTGCAGAGGGTATTATAATTTTGGTCAAAAGTGTGCAACGCAGTGAAGGAGACATCTCCGACCCTATAAAGTATATATATTCTTGATCAGGATCACCTCCTGAGTTGATATAGCCATGTCCGTCTGTCCGTCTGTCTGTCCGTCTGTCTGTCCGTCTGTCTGTTTCTACGCAAACTAGTCTCTCAGTTTTAAAGCTATCGAGTTGAAACTTTGCACACACCCTTCTTTCCTTTGCACGCAGTATATAAGTCGGAACGGCCGGGATCGGCCGACTATATCCTATAGCTGCCATATAACTGATTGATCGGAAATGCCATAACTCTGCTGTTTGTTAAGTTAGGAAGTTGGGACTTTCTGTGGGTTCTATATTTGGCCAATCAATCCGACGTACCAAATTATATATAAGTCGGAACGGCCGGGATCGGCCGACTATATCTTATAGCTGCCATATAACTGATTGATCGGAAATGCTATAACTTTGGTGTTTGTAAAGTTAGAAAGTTGGAATTTTCTATGGGTTTTATATTTGGCCAATCAATCCGACCTACCAAATTTCATAAGGATCGGCCGACTATATCTTATAGCTGCCATATAACTGATTGATCGGAAATGCCATAACTTTGGTGTTTGTAAAGTTAGGAAGTTGGGATTTTCTATGGGTTTTATTTTTGCCCAATCAATTCGACATATTAAATTTCATAAGGATCGGCCGACTATATCCTATAGCTGCCATATAACTGATTGATCGGAAATGAAATAACTTTGGTGTTTTTAAAGTTAGGAAGGTGGGATTTTTTATGAGTATTAAAAATGCATCATATGAATAATTTTGGAGAATATAATTTGCAGAATATTCTGCAAGGGTATTTCAACTTCGGCTCCGCCCGAAGTTAGCTTTCCTTTCTTGTTATATTTCCATTCTTCCTAATTGATTATCTTTATTACCTTGAATATTTATTTTTTTAATTGACTCAAATCCTATGTACCAAAATAAACTAGCTAATTATGAAGGAAACTTGTATTTAACATCAATTATTTACAGTAGCTAAAATGTGTCAAGATTGGTTAGCTTTTTATACCCTTGCAGAGGGTATTATAATTTTGGTCAAAAGTGTGCAACGCAGTGAAGGAGGCATCTCCGACCCTATAAAGTATATATATTCTTGATCAGGATCACCTCCTGAGTTGATACGAGGTGTGTTCAAAAAGTAAGGTGACTTTTCAAATTTCGCGGGCAACATATTTTCGATTATCGATTTTTTTGTTTTGTTATATTGGTACACTCTTCCCTAACATCTGTACCAAGTTTCAATGGAACATCCTCTTTTGTTTGGTTGTGAGAGGCGTAAAGTTACAAGTTATTTTGCGAGCTCGGCGATTTTTTGCTATCGAAAAATATGGATCAAAGGATTTGCATCAAATTTTGTGTAAAAAATAAAATTAAGTGCTCTGAAACACTTGAAATGTTGACAGTGGCATACGGTGAAACTGTTCTGAGTAAAAACAAGAAAGGAAAGCTAACTTCGGGCGGAGCCGAAGTTGATATACCCTTGCAGAATACTCTGTAAATTATATTCTCCAAAATTATTCATATGATGCATTCTTAATACTCATAAAAAATCCCAACTTCCTACCTTTAAAAACACCAAAGTTATGGCATTTCCAATTGTTCAGTTATATGGCAGCTATAGGATATAGTCGGCCGATCCTTATGAAATTTGGTAGGTCGGATTGATTAGCCAAATATAAAACCCATAGAAAATCCCAACTTCCTAACTTTACAAACACCAAAGTTATGGCATTTTCGATCAATCAGTTATATGGCAGCTATAGGATATAGTCGGCCGATCCTTATGAAATTTGGTAGGTCGGATTGATTAGCCAAATATAAAACCCATAGAAAATCCCAACTTCCTAACTTTACAAACACCAAAGTTATGGCATTTTCGATCAATCAGTTATATGGCAGCTATAGGATATAGTCGGCCGATCCTTATGAAATTTGGTAGGTCGGATTGATTAGCCAAATATAAAACCCATAGAAAATCCCAACTTCCTAACTTTACAAACACCAAAGTTATGGCATTTCCGATCAATCAGTTATATAGCAGCTATAGGATATAGTCGGCCGATCCTTATGAAATTTGGTACGTCGGATTGATTGGCCAAATAGGAAGTTGGGACTCTCTATGGGTATTATAGAGAGTCCCAACTTCCTAACTTAACAAACAGCAGAGTTATGGCATTTCCGATCAATCAGTTATATGGCAGCTATTATAGTCGGCCGATCCCGGCCGTTCCGACTTATATACTGCGTGCAAAGGAAAGAAGGGTGTGTGCAAAGTTTCAATTCGATAGCTTTAAAACTGAGAGACTAGTTTGCGTAGAAACAGACAGACGGACAGCTTTAGCTTTCCTTTCTTGTTATTTTTACAACAGCGAATAACATGCTTGTTTTGGTTGAAACGGCCACCCAAGTGCTTAACATTTGGGCAGTAGTAGTTTTTCCTATTTAAAAATGCTCAAAGTCGTAAAGAGAGCAAACAAACAGAGACACATGGGCAAACAGACACGGCACAGTAGGGCAACGACACTACAGTAAACACTGCAGCAAGTGGAAAGCAGCCAGGCGTGCTAATTGTGTCATTTACATTGGCAAACAAGTGCGAGCGAACAAGTCAAAGGCTCAAACAAATTATTGCGTCTGAGCGCATCTGAATTAACGGCGACCGAGCAGCTGACAAGTATGCAAATAATTAATTTAAGTAAACTACGGGTCAAGAGTAAAAATAAAGAAATGAAAAAAAATTCTTGTCAGAAGTGGGATTCGAACCCACGCCTACAGAGTAGACTGCGACCTGAACGCAGCGCCTTAGACCACTCGGCCATCCTGACAGTGACGAACATGATCACAAACGCCAACAAGTTTCTCTACCAATTGATCTACCCGAAAGCTCTAGCCCCTAAAAGTTCTAAACAGAAAACTTAGATAAGCTGACCACTGATCGATAGCTCAAGCAAATCGATAGTTGTCCAATTATTCGATACAAGACCATTGAAAAATTCAAATGCCAGGTTCCCATTTCCAAGTCAAGTCAATGTTGCCGCTCGAGTAAAACCAAAAAATAGTTTCTTTTATTGAATTATCCAGTATTTCATACGATCAAAAATATAGTAATGCAGTGATACTTATTTTTAATAATTGTCTTAATTCTTTATTTACTTATAACTCATTTCGTTATTATTACAATAATGTATTTGATCAGCGCGATAAGTGTTATATTTCGATAATGGAGATACGAGTACCACACACCTTCCCTCGCGATTTTTACAGAAATCAAATGTGTTTTTATCAGTTGAATTTTATTTTAAAGAAACGCCACGTTTCCCACAAAAAATTGCTAAATGTTTCCTAAATATACATAGTTTAACTAAAAATATGACTACAATGTATTAAAAAGTTCTTGCACACGTAAAACAAATATTTTGTTTTATACGTCTTTAAATTAGGCGTTTTTGTTGGACACCTTGCGGTTTTCATGGTTTTTATATTTTAGTACTAGTCTTTCATTTGTTGCATTCTAATTTTGACTTTTCTCGCTAATGTTTTTAATAAAATTCATTTGATGTGGATTTTCCTTTAACTAAATTGAGCTAAAATATATTTTACGTTTACCATTTGTAACCATTTTGCCTTTTTGTAATTAAAAATAATTTTTGGATGGTTCCATTTGTGTTTAGATGCATTTCTTTCGCGCCAAAGAGAAGCATTTTGCCAGGGAAATTCTCACTTTCTTCACTTTTCAGTTGTTGCTTTTAATTCATAATCAAGTCGTTTTCTTTTCTGCATTCAACATTTCATTACTTCAAGAATTCCATACATTAAACTTAGAGCATAGAGAAGTACACTAAATATTAGATTTATTATACACATATATGCATTTAAATATTTGTGTGTATATATCGTATGTACATAATTAATAGGCAACCACTTAAGCTTACTATAAAAATAAGTATTGTTTATGCAATATTCAATTGCCACAAAATGTACTAAAAACCGAAAACTGTACAGTATACAATATTCATTCTCTTTATCTTTATCATTGTCAATCTGTTCAACAGCATTCTAAGCACATACACAGCGCATTTCCAAACCAAACCCAGCTGCAGCTGTCTACCAACAAAACTTCAACAATCTTTATTTATTAGGATGAGAAACGAATAATTTCAAAATTCTAGCAAATAAAAGGAAACAAATCCAATTTGTAAATGAGAACTTTCTGTCTTTACATGCACAATGCGGCTAAGCGTTTTCTCAAATGTTTTGCTCGTCTTTCAGATCTTTTAGGACTTAGGCTAGTTTGGTTTTGGATTTGGTATGCATGTTAATGCCGTGTAGGGTGCTACTAAATCGCCATTAGTACACACTAGCTTCATTGCTGCTGCTCCACTAATGTAGTTTTTTCCGTGTTTTTGTCGTCGCTGCATCTGTTACCCTTGGCTTAGTACATTAATTTTCATGAGGCGTACATGCGGTTAATATCATGCTGATATCTGTCCTGAATATCCTTGCGCTTCAGTTTGAAGGCAGCCGTTACCAGCCCCATGTCTGGAGACCAGACCTCCTTGCACAACGTGATAGCGGCGGGCACCTCGAACTTTTGCAATTTGCCTGAAAGATAATATATCTATATTATAGTACATTTCGAAAACATCTAATTCTCCTTCTTAGCTTACATTTCCGCGCATGCTCGGCAATCTCCTTGAGTATAGCCTTTTCTATGATGGGCGATGAGCACAGCTCCTCGTAGGTCTTGTCTCCCAGGCCATGTTTTTCAGCAAGCTCCTCCAGATGCTTCTGGTTGGGAACGACCAGCGCCACGGTAAATTGCTTAGTGGGATCTCCATATACGCAAATGTTTTCGATAATTCCACATGTCTTTAACTCAGATTCAACCTTGCCCAGAGAGACATATTCGCCGGCTTGCAGCTTAACGAGATCCTTCTTACGATCTGCAGAAAAGTAAGATATTATATATATAGATTTCCTGAATATAAATTTGGTTTGAAAACCTACCTATAATCTTAAGTACGCCATCAGCTTGGATTTCGCCAATGTCTCCGGTTTTGAACCATCTTCGTCCATCCTCCTCAAAGAAATCCTCGTTGGTCTTGCCGGGCAACTTGTAGTAGCCCTGTGAGACACACTCGCCGCCAATGAGAACCTCGCCCTGGGGATGGGGCTTGTTTGTGACGCGGTAGTTTCCCTCCTCCCAGTTGACCAGGCGGATATCGCAGACGGTCAAGGGTCCTCCAGTACGTCCATAGGTCATATCGCGATCTGTTTTTGGGCATGGAGTCAATTACTGGATTCAAAAAACAATTTTGTAATCCTTACAATCCATTACTGTGGCTCCAGAAGTGGTTTCCGTAAGGCCATAGCCCTGGATAAGCTCCAAGCACAGGCAGGTCTTAATTTGCTCATGGGTGTCTGCTGATAGAGGTGCTCCACCGGACATAATGATTCGCACTTTGCCGCCCATCAGCTTTGCCACCTTTTTGAAGACCAATCTGCAAATGAATTGATAGGTTTTGTAACCAACTTAAGACCTTGATAAGTGCACTTTTCTTACTTGTCAATTAGCGGCGTCTTGTAGCCACGTTGCACCCACTTTACTTTGTACTGGTAGAGGAATTTGAAGAGCGATTTCCTGAACGCCGAGCCCGAGTTGACCTTGTCGTTAATGCCCTTGGAGATGCGATCGAGTATCAGCGGCACCGAAGTCATGCAGGTGGGCTTTAGTACGGTGGCATCACCCTTGCATCCGCGTTTGATCTTGCTGCTAGTGTCGATAAGGGTCAACGGTGTCGAGTAGCCGATGGGCACGCCGGTCATAAGACATACACTCTCCGCAACCAGTTCAAAAACGTGGGCCAGGGGCAGGAATCCGATCAGAACATCGTCCGGATAGATGGGCACCATATCAACGAATCCCTTCATTGTGGCAATGCAGTTCTTGTGGGACAACAGGACGCCCTTGGGTGTGCCGGTGGAGCCGGAAGTGTACATGATGATGGCAATGTCATCGCCCTTGGGTGGAACGTTCTCTGTTGGATAAGAAAAAAAAACAATGGTTAAAAAGAGTCTAGGAAACAGAGCAAGCTATTTAAATCGTATTTATTTTAAGCAGAAGAGCATGCTTAATGCTTTACGACATTTTTACTCATGTATATTACGTACTTTAGACCAGACTTGAATGACAAATTCTTTCAAAATTGTGCAGGGTAAAGATTTGAGTTTGAAGACACGATTCAGAATGACAGAAGACCTGGAGGAGTTCATCACCCTGACGCCGTTGACTTGTGTGCAACAGTGCAATGCTTTACTAGGCGCCAGATCAACGAAACCGAAAAGCTGCATTGTTTTTTTTACACTTTTTGGAGCTTACTGCGGCGTACTCGTCTATCGGGCATATCGGGCATATGCCTCGAAACAAGGAGGAAATGGGGAGAAAATATCAGAAGTGATAGCGCTTGAGGCTAAAGCGGATGATCTGAATGTAGAACCAGGTTCCAGCCTTGTGAACGAACTTTTAGAGCAAGCGCAGCCGATCCTATTGCAGCCTGTCGAGCTTTCCAGCACTGACATGAGGTAAGTGAAGTAAAACACTAAATTATCTATTGACATATTCTGCCTTTGAAACAGATGGCGCTATTGCAGCCAGTTGCCTGAACCAGAATTCAAGCTAGGCTCAGATGGTGATGACGAAGAATTCGAAGAATCAAGTATTATATTGGATGAAAACGATCACGTCACAGTATCAGCGGCCACATCCACAACAAAGCCTAAAAATCTCAAGCCAACCACCTTTTCGGTGTAAATCACAATGCTGATTGGCAAACGAATCCATCGTTTGATGAAAAGTAGAATAAATCATCTTTTAAAGCCCTCTTAAAACGTACCGAATTTGCTTTCCTGTCCGGACTTCACAACCTGGTTGAAGGGCAATATCTTGACGCCGTCCTTGAAGCCAGTGGTCTCCGTCTTTTGCAGCTGATCCTCGATGTAGATTATGGTCTTCACCAGGGGGCACTTGTCCAGCAGAGTCTTGAACTTGGGCAACAGATCGTGCGAGGTGATAACCGTGGTGACTTCCGTTTCGGTGATGCCTGGGGACAGATTCGAAAGTTATTTCGGGTGTGAAAATATGCGTTATGCAATCTACTCACAGTGGGCCACTCCATCATCCCCCAGTGTAGCGTAGACGGTCACAATGGGCATAGCCTGTTTGAAGCATCCATGAGCGGCCATCATCCACTCGGCCCGAGTCTCAGCAAAGATTACTATGTTCTCGCGCGGTTTTTGTCCCAGTTCTCGAAGACCGCGTCCGAAATTGGCCGCAGTGCGCTCCGCCTCGGTGAAAGTTTTCCACTTGTAGTCGCCCAGGTTGTACTTCTTGAAGACACGACCATTTTGCTGCACCTCATCCTCCTCGCTGAGGATCTGGCGGGTACCCAGGCAGCGTTTCGACGTGTACGTCTTGGCCACATAATTGAAGACTTTTTCCAGCGTGTCGATGTTCTCCTGCAACATCTTCACGTGGACATCACGCGGCGGATCTGTAGTCCGGTAGGTCAGCTCATTGTCATCATTTCGTATGATTTTTGCCTGGAAAATGTGCAAAACCGTGGCGATTACTTAAATGTTTTGTCAGACGTTGCGATTCAAATAAACGCTAGATTAGGGGAGGGACCACAAAGTAAAGTCGACAGAGAGATAACAGACATGTGAGTTTTCGAGGGGTTGTTGAGGTGAGGGCCATAACTCAGGAGATCATGTTTCGTTGACCAACACCAAAAAGAGTCTCCAAACAGGGGATTCAACTCTGGATACGATCACCAGTCCTTGGAACATTTATTGTGCGTGTGTTGTGTTTATGTGTGTGTGGTATGGGGGTGCCCCAATGTGTCTGTGTGTTTTTGTAATGTGTGTATGTTCCGTAACAGATAGTATTATTAAACTATTAAAAACACATTTGCAAAAGTTAAACCTCAATGTCATCCGGCGCGTACTTGGACTCATCGACCAACATTTTCTGGTTAATGGGCTTGGCCTGTAGAGGAAGGAGGTGAGATAAGCGATGAGAAGCTAGTAAAGCCATAATATTGGATAAAGATTTCCTGATCCCTAATATATGAAACCATTCTACCCTTATTATTTATGACCAATCGACCGTATCTGACTAAAAGCAATTAATAGCAATTTATTGTTTATAAACTTTAAAAACAAGTTTTCACAAATTTATGATGCAAGCGGTTTTAGTTTCCGACGTTGGCATAACCATAACCCATAAACCTTATCAGCCGACTGAATAGGCCAACCATAAAGCGCTCCATTTAGATAGTACAAAATCAGTTGTAGAAGTTTCCTAGCTGAGGTTTTTTCAAAAAAAGTTGTAGCTGATAAAAAAAACTTTCTGCTAACTGGCCAAACCTAATTTTAATAAACTGCACTAGAATAATAATTAAATCGACAATTCAATTGCTAATATTTTAATTTTTTTAACTCCATAATTCGACGTTCTTCACTTAAGCTTTGAGAAAAGAGTGTGAGCAACGCAATGATCCACTTCAGTAACAAAGTCAAATAGCTCCTCCATGCATGTCTCAGTGGTTTTGGATCGGCCATTCACACGATCATTGCATTCTTGATACTTTTGGTACAAGGATTGGATATGGTCTTTGGCCTCGCACTTTTCCCTAAGGTCTGCTTGTGGATCAACCAACTTTTCTTCGTCGTCACCGGCTTTAACGACAGGCTGCGAGAACCAGCTTTTAAATGCCATGCTTGCAGCTTTCAAAGAATACAGCTAATACTAAATGAATAATTTATTTTCCAGGAAATTAGATACCAACTCTCAATATTTACAAATCTTTCTGACTGACAGCTTACGCTTTTAATATATGTAACTGGTAGCTAATATTTTCGAAATGTTCTGCATGACTCAGTGAAGGAAAATAACATTCTATAAGCGAATTTCCTGGTTGTTTGGGAGATACACAAGGCCCGCTATTGTTCTACGTTGCACGATTCTCTTATCAGGACCACCTGCGTTGTCTATGAATGTGGCCTGACAACCTGTGCAATTATCATACACAGCTATGATTGGGTGTTCTCACATTTGCGAAATAATAAAGCAAAACGAAAGCAAGAAAATCACTTCGGCTAATTTCCACATAAAAAGTGAATCTCTGATAAAGACATATAGATAGTAAAAAAAAAAAAGGGGAACTGGTCAGAAAATCAAAGATCAATCAATAGATAATAAAAATATAAATGTAAAAAAAACACCTGCCTGGAGCAAGCTTCGAAGTTAGGAAAATTAGGTCTAGAAAAATAAAATCAAACTGATAAGCAAGGGTGCATTTTTCAAACATATAGTTAACTAAACAAAAGCATGCGATTGTAGCTAAGTTGTCAGGTCTCTGTACTTTGGAACGGCCAGGGCAAAGTCGAAAGTATTTCAACTACACGATTCTAGAGATAGTTATAGTCGGTGCACTGATTGGCCGGGTAAGTAAGTGGCTTTTTCCATTTTTTCCGCTAGCAAAGTCATTCAGCCATCATGTCACCACTCTCACCTTAACTCGACGAGAGTCCTGCCGGCGTTTCCAGGGTTTCTGCAGCACCAGATAAACCGGTAGCGTGATGATGTCGTACATGAAGGCGATCGCCTTGATCGCGCCAATTGCGCTCTGCACCCAGAAGCTGTCCATTCTGTAAAGGCAATAAAAAATACAAATTAGTGGCCAATTGGTATGCAAATTTAAGCAGGCAAGAACTATTGGTTTTCTCGACTCATCACGTATATGCCCGGTTGGTTGGTTGTTCGAACGATTCTCCCATTGCACCCACCCACTCGTTGTAGCGCCGTCGCAAGCCGAAAACCAACTGATATCACCACCTGTTGCTGCTGCCACTGTTAGCAAGTCTTGAAAATCCGAAAGTGGAAAGGGGTAGACACTCTCACGCTCAGTTCGAATCTCGGTGCTCAGAAAACGCTTTTCAAACGGGCGATAACAAGTGGAGAGCACTGGAAGTGTTCGGCTTTTTATCAGCTAGAGATTGCTAAGCCGTAACGAGCCGAAGTCCGATTCGTAGGCAATATCTAACCCTCAAGGGACCCGAGAAACTGGCCATTGAAAAGAACTGAAACTTAAGTGTACGTCTGGTACTCGCCTGGACCCTTCCATATGTCTGGTTCCTTATCTGCTTTCTAAGCGATCTAAACTCAACTAGATTAGTTGCCAAGAAGCCTATAAAACGTGTCAAAAATCAAGGGTATCAGCCATATTTCATTAATCACTTCAAATAATGTATAGCTATTAAATGAGCCAAATGTTTTACATTACAAACTTTCGTTTTTTATTATAAAACCAAGTAGCTAACTAAATAATTTATTTTGTTTTTTATTTCTACGTTATTTTTGTACTTATCGACAACCGAAAATATCCCAAAAATTTATCAGCAAGTCTCACTTTCTTTGTAATTCCATTAAAACTTCCGACATTATGCCAACTTTTTATCACTATATTTATAATTGCAATTAGAAAAAATAACTCATGCCAAATATATTTAAAATTTTGTTTTTTCATTAAAAATTTGATCGCTAGCCACCAGGACACTAGATAAAGTTATTATCGCAATGCTCAATTAATTAAAATGATACGATTTTAATTTGTAAATATTTTCTGGAATTTGACTAAGAAATTCGCTTATTCATAATGTTTTTTTGTTCGCCGGTGGGTTAATTTTAGAACCAGTTACGAGAACATAACTAAGCTAGAAGCTAGTTATGTTAGGAAACGAGTCATGCTGGGAGTCGCATTTAATCTGCTTATGTATAAAGCATATATAGTAAACGGTTTGTGGTATATGTGAGCGATTATAGCGTGTGGCACTTTATACAATCCATAGTGCAAAATGCAGTTAAAGACTGCACACTTAAAGAACCTTCGTATGTGAGTGCTGGCCTGATAAGCAAATTGATAGCCTTGAACTTGGATTGCGCAAGTGGGCATGACGTCAATTTCCCGGACCAATGCGCTTAAAATGTTAAAGTTTGTCACTAAGGTGGTTTTTGAAACATAGATTTAAAGTTTTTTAAGTATATAGCATAAGTAGTTCAAATTTTTAATTTATTTTTGTTTGCATAAATACTATTTCTAAAAGTATTTCCAAAGTCTCTGTAAATATACCATGAATCCATAAGCTTATACTTAATTATATACATATATACGCATTGAATACAAGAAAAGCAAGCATAAAATTTAACAATCATTACTTTAGTAAATATATTTATCTACTTACTGGGCATCGTCTTCGATGAACATCTTGCCGTTTTTTTTATTTGTCCGATTTCCGATTTCAATGGATTATCTTAATGGGTGGTGGAAATAAGCGATGTGCGAGAGGAGTGACGCTCTCTTTTTTAGGGGATATCCTCCAAAGAAGCTTAGCTCGATATATGGCAAGGACGAACAAACAATGGATGCAACAATAAAACGATGATATCAGGTCCCTCTGATTGCTGTTTTCACCTGGAACCGGAAGAAGAACGAATATATGCATTTATGTAGTGAAATGGGATAAGACAACAAAATGGAAGAAATACGAAATACAAAGAAAGCGTGTAAATCCGAAAATTTACTTAAAGCCGCAACCAAAAGAGTGTGATGACATAACAAAAGATACTTAATCATACCAAAAATAATCAAACATTGCTATCTTTAAATACTATTTTTAAACAGAAAGTAATTTCCCGTTTGCATTCTTAAAATAGATAACAATAATCAAAATGCCCACAAATATTTTTTTAATTGGGAAACATTTGTTCTGGCCTTCTTAAATATTATAATCAAATTAGAACTTAAAGCCAAAGAAAGATATTCTTATTGCTTGGATTTACTAAATGATTGCCAGAAAGACAATGTGTTGATAATAAGAATATAAGGAACGATTTGAGATAGTACATATCAACAGAGAAAAAAAGATATGTAGACCAATATTAAAATTAGACGGGCAGTTTTAAGAGATAATCTAGAGAGCGGTTGCATAATTGGAATTTTAAGCTCTCACATTCACTCTCTCTCTCTTTTTCAGTCTGCCTATTAGTTGAGATAGAGAAACATTGACATAGGTCGGGGACATCAATCGAAACTATTTAAATATTTTGGCATTAATTTACACAACTTACAAAAGAACGCCTTCGTATTTGTAGTTACGAGCAAATGTTGAAGGAGGCCAAAGTCCGATACACCAAGGTTTATCCGCTCTGAAAGCCGATATTGAATGGGTTCTTTAGAATCTGCCGTCACTGATAAACAACGAAGAACATTTCATTCCAAGGCGCCCAAAGTTCACTTCTTATGCAATCGCTCAAGACTTAAAATCATGCGATATACTGGTGATATTTAAGGGTATACAAATGTGAAACTCTGTTTCAGTCTGTTTCCGTAGAGTGCATTGAACTGACCAAAAAATAAAAATCTTTTGCTCGGTTATACCTTGTACATCTGAAATATGGTTAAAACTCAGAGAAGAGTCGAAACCGTAAAACGTGTGAATACGTGTTTTGTTTGCGAAGAAAAGAGAATATGAAAACATAACGAAGGCAGCGAAAATAACACATTTCGTTATTATTAATATATGCAAAAAAGACAGTTAGCAAAACAACTGACACAGTGGGTCAAATCCAGTCTTATAGTGATTACAAGGATTACAACAAAATAGAGAATTTAGCCCAGCACCACCTGTGGCGAAGGAGGTATTTTAAGAGGTTAGAATTTAAGTAACCACATCGTTTCCATAAAGGGAATTGCAACGAGACCTATATTGAACTGTTTAGAAATTGGCCTTTTCCCAAAAGTTGAGCTACAAATATACATATACTAGAAATGGGATAATGTATATTTTATTCAACATATTTATTTCAAATATGTGCTTTGACAACCACTGTGCAAGGTTTATAGCCATCAAGTAGCGCAGCACAGGCGAAAGTTGTTTGGCTGCCGTTGTTGGTTAATGAATGAAAACTAAATGAAAATATTAAATGGTTAAGCGTTGCATATGTTTTGGTTCGAGTATAATCATTTCCACAGCTCACCAATGTGCTATTCCGATCTTGAGCCCCAGGTCAAAGATTTATTTCAAAGCACACAAAAAGAGATGAGAACCTGGTGAATGGCGTGTTGGAAGCAAAGGTTATACCAAGTGTTCTTTTTAAGTAAGTAATCATGGTCCGGTTGAAAACAATAAGGAAATTGTGCGCATTAAGCCTGTGATTACTGTAATCCGTACTTTGGACGCGACCCGACCCCCAACACCGCCCCTCTGGTCAGCAGTGTGCGATGTCGCACATGTGAAAAAATTATGGTGGTTGTGCCTAAATCAGCACTGCTCTGAGAACTGATTGAATCAGATACGATTCGTAAACCTTGAGGGTTACATAGCGCACACACCCGGCGTATGCGTAATTTTTACGACGAGCACTTTAACCGGTACAGAGGTCAACAGCCATCAAACGACATTCCAAAAACAACAACACTGGCGCTAACCGCAACAAGATTGCGATTATATCTGAACTTACAATTAAATTTTCAACTTTAAAAATCGTTTAAATTCAATTTTGAAATGGCAATTTCGGCTTTTAAAAAATGTATTTATAAATGGATTATCTGTGTACATATTTTACGATACAATAAACATGAGTGGACTGACTTTAAAAGTCATTTCCCAAATGGGAGTTTCGGTACTTTAAACCGCATCACACAAATTCTTTTTCTTTTTTAAAATTTGCGTTTTGGAAGTAAGCAGTAGAACATTACGGTTCAATAAAGGTACATTACTGATAAGCTTTATGGTTCGATTAAAATGCAATTTGGAAATGAGAGTTCCAAGAAATAAACAACTTGTTTTTAGAAAGCTACGGTCATATAAAAGTTAGTTGATAACCTTAAGCAATATTTAAAATGCAAATCACATATATCCCACATTTTATTTTACAGTCTCTTACTTTTAGTTAATCATCACTTAAAATATAGCCAGCTCTCAACTGATTGCACATGGCAAACTGTTTTGTAATGTAAGGGTGAAACTCTTTTAATTGCTTCTATTAAAACAAAGGCAGAAACCTTGCATTAATTACAACTGACAAAGGTTCTCGTAACTGTTTTTACTGCTGTGGTGCTAGAATACACAAACTCTTTCCGATTCGGAATTGATTGCTATTATTATTTGCTTACATTGCACGACAGACTGCAACCGGCTGAAAAGCATTGAACAAATGAACACGTAACGCTTGATCAAATCGAAAACACAAACAGAAACGTCATGCAAAATAACGAATGTGAAGTAGAGCAAACCCCGAACTTGAAACCACTTTTGTGCTGTTACTTCAAAAAAAGAAAAACTAAAACAAAATGAGCTGTTAAAGTCCAAGATCACTTTTTGTTCCAAACTAAAACATTACGAAATGTGATAAGCGTTCCACTTTAATTGGTTAAAATTTGCAACAAAGAGAAAAGTTAAACTCATAAAGAACACGTCATCATAAATGCGTCAGACAGAAACGTGTCCATTAACGTGCGTATTTCATAGTATTTTGAATATTGGGTACATCTCTCTTTGTTGAGTAAAGTTGCGCTGCAAAAAGTAAACTTTTGGCTTTTCTGTCTGGGCAACATTTTCTCAGCTCTAGTTTTAGCCACCTGTATGTTTACAATTGAATCGCGGCAAGATCGCTTGCATAAATATTACTTAAAGTTCGGTCAAGGTTTTGGGTTTTATGGGAAATAGTAACGGGAACACTGATTGCCGTGACATTGGAACGGGCGGGCGGGCGTGTGGAAATAGGAGAGCACAACATTATTCTGCCTGACGCGAATGCGGATAATGCAAAATTTAAATTGAATTGCAACATTTGATTTTTTTCCATGGAGGCGGGGTTACGTGACTGTCTGCTATATCTCCGTCTATCCCGCTCCCTCGATCGGTCGTTCTCTGAGGAATAATGGGGTAACAAAATCATCGTATGACTGTGTCAAAGTCCAAAATAAAAATACTTTTGCAGTCGCAGTACACACATAAACACGAGAAAAATTGCTCAAACGAGATTGAAATACGGACAACAATGCTACACAGAACAAAAATAAAAGCTGATTTAAACATGTTGTTTAAAAATATTATTTTTACAAGAATTACGTAAGATTTTATGTATTAAAAATACCTAATATCTAATATTTCAGTTATTTGAAATATATTATCTTGAGATCTGATACATGAGAAAGTATTCCGTATTAAATATTTTGTAATCCAATTTCTTTTGGATTCTTCTGCCCCTTACATAAATTAATTAAATAAAACTATCTATTGGGTTAACTTTAAAATAAAAACTATCGATTAAATGCAAACAACACGTACAAATATTTCCTGTGTGGCCTCAACAGCATCATTAAGTGAGAACAACATTTGCACGGGCCGTTGAATATTTCATTGAATGAAAATGAGCCACAGAGAAAGAGTAACAAACATGCCAAACAAACAACCGAATGACCGACAGTGTGGGTGTGTTTTGGAGGCGAACTGAAAATAAATTTAATAATCGCCTCAGAGAAAGAGAAAAAAAGAAAGAACGGAGATAGCTACATCCATACGCAGAGAGAAAGAAAGATCACCGGACTCTCATTTGCACCCGCTCACTTTTCATGAATGCTCGAGATATGTAAATAGGCGTGTGTGAAAGTAAGGCAGCCGCGTAGCGCTAAAATAAATGACCTAGACAAGCGAGTACTTATCTTTAGAGTGACCATCAACCGTAGAGCACGTGCTCGAGTGAAATTTTCCAGAGGAAAACAAATTTTGACAATGATCGTGAGAGCCAGGGGCAATGCGTTGGCAAAGCCGAAAGCCCGGTTTAATCGAAGCGGTACTGCGCGAAAACCGGTTAGAAAATCGACCAAAGTCATGACTAAAACAAACACAAATAATGCTCATGCGATCCAGGGGCTTAGATTGAAGGGGCCTTAACGACCTCTCATACCGGCTGGTGTCAAAGAATCACCAGTTACAAGTGCCCCCCATTTTCTAAGCCACTGCCATTCAAACTGAGATACAAATCGACTTGTTTTCTAAACCTGCTGCTTGCCAAACAGAACTTTTTACCCGCAAATGAGGTACAAGTCGTTGGCATGCCCAACCAGAAATAGAAACAAAAGCTGCATTTGGAGTTTAAACTTTAAAGCTAACGAAATTGTTGGAAAAGTAATGCACAGAAAACTTAGCATATAGTGAATCCTATTTATATTAACACAAAAAGCGTAGTTCAAAAGCCTTTTAATTAAAGAAAAATAATTGGCCAAATTTTTTTTATTTTAAAAGAAGAAAACAAAAAACTATAAAACTTTGCTATGGCTGGCACAGATATTGATTATTAGCAGTCTTCACAAATTGAATGCAATCAAATAAAATTAAATAATGCGAAAAGGGAGAGATGAATCACAATCGACAGCTGTTGCATCGGGCAAACCGAAAATAACGGTTAGGTTTAGCTGTTAAAGCACTGGGCAAGCTGACAAATCGGGGTTTGGGCAACAGGCCGATTACAGATTGTCATTACAGTCCGCAGTTCAGGGGCGGTTGAGGGCAGACGTTGGGCGGGGTGACGCCCAGACATCGCGTGACTATTTTTGACTATGCGCCCAAGGAGATAAAGAAAATGGGGAAAAAATAAAACTCAGCAACTGCAGCTACACACATAATATTACGCTTCACAACTGCATGACACAAAAAAACTCCAAGTTTATTGCATCACTTCTGAGTTTACTTAACGTTTTTTTATTTTACATTATATTTATTATTATTTTGGTTATTGAGACCCAACCGTTATAAAACCAGTATTATGTTTTTTTTATAATCATTCAACAAATTGCTTGAGTATGTATTGCCAAACTCTTTTGTTTTTGCTTTTTGTTCAGTGTGGCAGTCGGAAAAGTCACGAGGCACTGGGCGAAAGGGATGGTGGCAAGGGGGTCGCACTGTGGGCTGGTTGGGTTGCAAGCGGCAAGTACTGTGGCACGTTTTTTCTTCGTTATACCAGCTGAAAATCGTATGAGATTCAGGGGAAATGTTGCCGCCGCCGAGGAGCTTAAAACAAAGTACAAGAATAATGCGGCGAAGAGAGTCAAAATTTTAGAGAGCCGGTTTCATGAGAGTGTGAGTCTACTGTACTGTACAGGGCGAAGAGAAAGAGAGAGAGAGAGACAGCAAACCAGGGGCAAAGTGTGAAAAGGTCAAAGAGCAAATTGTTTACATGAGACGGGCGGAAAACTGGGCGGTCTCGCCATGAATGAAAGCTGAGACCGGCAAATGCGGCTCGCCCACGAGGTAAAAATGTTCGGTATGGGAAGTCTTGTCAGGTTATTTATAATTTATAAAATCTTTTTATTTAACAAGTAACTAAAAACACAACCAAATAAGAAACTTTTTTGATGTGGGCCATTTAGAATTGATTTTTACTAAAGAACACGACAGAACGACAGTCAAATCTCTGAAAATCTTCGCTCTTAAAGAAGTAATTTAGGACAAAAGTTCGTCTATTCTTTTTTAATATACAACTCAAAGACCTTTATTAAATCCTAAATAAAATATTCAATTTAAAATCTAGTAAAAGTACAAAACGAGGAAAAAAGTGGGTTTTCCATTTAGTGTAAGTTGAATACATTTTTGTTTAGATATTTAGTGCCAGTTCCAGAAAGAGCACATTTTTTATACAAGGTTTTTCTCTTCCAGTTTTAAAATACTTGGCCAAGATACAAAAGATGAATATTGGAAAAGGTTTGTTTACGTTATAAACTTTTGTAAGATAAACTATTTATAGCAATAAAAAAGTTATACTTTTAAAGGAAGTTTGAGATTACTTTTTTTGTATTCTTCAACGGGAAGCATTTTTCTAAAATACCAAATTACGGTTGAAATTCTTTTAGAGATAAAAGATATTGCTATTTTCAACATTTCTGGTTTCCACATTTACCATCCCATCCACAATCGACTGACTTGCACGTAGTTTCGCTTATCGCAGGTCTATCTGTTCCGGCTGAACTTTTGAACGGCCGAATGTGCCCCCGCCTAGTGAATAACTACCGGCAGCTATGTGAGCGATATTCCGATTATTAAGTGCTTCCACCTCAAATGTCTGAGGCCCGTTTCCGGCCCAGGCAGAAGCCGCGCCCTAGAAACAAAAGCGTGGCATGAAAAGTGCAACCCAACCAGTGGGCCACCCACGCCACCCACCGCTCAGCTGGTTGCAAGGTATTAAAAACATCTGACACACGGCACACACACACTCTGTCACATACCGATGACCCCGAACTGAAAACCCCCGTTTTCCACCCACAAAGATAAAACTCGCATGATTTTCAGTTGGTATAACAAGCCGAGACAAAGAGAGAGATATATCCCCTTAGAGAGAGGGGGAGAGATATAAGACTGGGAGCGAGTTTGCGCAAAACACGTTACAAGAAATTTACACGTGCAAGCCAAGTAGGGGAAATCCATCCAGGGAGAGCGAAAGGAGAGAGCGTAAGATTTTGTTTATGTGCGTAGGTCTCAAACAGAATGGCACTCTCCGCATTTAATTACAATTTAAACTGCCTTGGGAAAGAATGCTATTAACAGGTTAAAAATAACGGTAAGGCAGCCGTAAAATACAGTAAAACTTCCACAAGAAGAATTTTTGCGACACTTAACTTCGAGGTAGAGCCTAAAAAATAATGTAATAGAACCTTGAACTGCTTTGATTATTGGTTAACATTTAATTATATCCTCGTGCCTGTACTATCGAGTTTTAAAAATTATTTTCAGATAATAAGTGAGTTTTTTAAAATGTTTAAAATGTCGTTTAAATCTAAAAGACAAAATTTAAAACAAAGAAGAAGGAACAGTATTGTCGACTGCCCCGACTGGTCAATTCCAAAAAAATATGAAACATTTCTTGCGGCGCGACATGCAATCTGATTTCAGGTGGCGCCATCTGCCGAAATTCAGTGCCCACACTACAAGCTAAGAACATGCAGCACCCCCTCCCCCGCTAACAGTTCTTTCGCTCTCACCTCTCTTGCAGTGACGTCATTATTTAAACTTATTTCCTAATAACTTTTAAAATACCGATTTTTTATATTGAATGGAAATATTTATTTCGATTGAAAAACATACACCGTCCAATCACAGAGTGACATGACATGTGTGAACCGCAATTGAAATAAACTTGTGCTGCATTACTGCATGTTTAATTCCAAATCTCCTATTATTTTAGTTTCCGAGAACCCGACGTTTATACGGACAAACGTGCCCTTCACTGCGTTGAAAACTTTTAACTGAAATTATAATACGGTCCGCAAGGGTATACAAATGGATAAAAAAAATGAAATCAAAAAGACAAAAAGAATATTAAATTATTTCTGTTTAATATCAAGTAGATTAAGTTGTTAAACCAAATGTTAAGTCCAATTTCATTAATTTTTACTGTAATTCGAACAGTTCCCATTTAAAAACAAAATTTTTTTGTTTACAAAATACAAATATTTTATCCTTTATTATATTTTTAAGTGCGTCTCGATGACGTTATAGAGATAAACAAAATGCCTCATTTGTATGGAGCTTTGTGAGCTTTTTTTAACCAAAACACAACAAAAATTGTAGTATACAAATTCGTGAGTAAATTGCACATTGGTAGTTTACTGAAGTCTGACTGTAAAATCAAGTGGCGAAAGCCAAACAAATCAATAAACAAACAGCAAACAAAATAAGTCCGGGCTGCCAATAGCAACCAATTGCATAAGGAAAGTGCAGGTGCACCAACACACGGACATTTAAATTGGGTCAAGAGAGAGGAGGATTGTTGATTCCTGGCCTCGAAAGCTAAATTTATTGGGTAAATTGATAAGGTGGCGTGACATCCTTGAAAAGCGGAAGCCGGCCGATGCAAAATATTGACAATAACTAGAACTTACCTATTTCAGAGGCCTAATTTTCAGTTCTAGACGACAGAGGCGGTAATTTTGGAGGGCGCACATGCAACGATTATCAAAATAAAATACAGAAATCAGCCAACAGATCACAGGATCGAAATAAATCACTGATTATATAAAATGACGTTTTGTGCCAATAAGAACGCACGCACACACACATTTACGCACGCAAACGCACACGTAATACCAGCATAATATGTTGCGTTGGCGTCAACACGTTTTTCTTTCTCTTCAATATCTATTTGTCTCAGAACTTGCAGACTTTATTTTAGATAGTCTACATTGCGCTTTAATTGATAAAACTTTCGCAAAAACTTTCACAAACTGCACAATTGCTCACTAACACACATACGGAGGGCAGCGGCGAACGTGTATAGGTATGTGTCGGTGTGTTTATCACGCCACTCGAAAACACTTTTCTACTTACACACACACTTGTTTTTTAAACTGCGTTTTAATGTTTTTTTTTATTGGATATTTGCTTTAGTTAGTTTGGCGCCCGCTTGCAAAGACGGCAAGACGCACAACGTTCTCAAATCACGTTAAATTTGTTTCTGAACTTTTTCGCTTTTTCGCCGCTTTTGCCACGAGATTTTTTTCTTTCTCCTTCGCCGCTCTCTTTTTTTCTCTCTCTCTCTCTCTGAATTTTGGAAAGGCGCTCTTTCCTTGTTAAGTGTGTGTTTAGTTTAGTCGTTTTCACTCAACTTCGATCAAAATTGATTACTTTTCTTTGTGCACCGACTGCATTTCTACTCACATCATGGCACCCAAAATTGCGCTATTGCCTTGGAGCCTCTTTTTGACGGTTTTTGCAGACTTCTAATCACGCGTCGAAAAATATTTGCATTTTACCGTGCAATGTGACCGGCGCTCGACCGCTAAATCGATGTTTACTCGATACTATCGCATCGAAGGCTGCCAGACTGCTCATATCACCGCTCTGGCAGCGCCGCCAAATTAAAAATTATGAAATAGAGATGGCCAACTTTTTCTACATTTATCTCGTGAAATATTAACTTCACGTAAAAAAGTCAAAAAACTTGGTTTGTCAAAATTCGTTTTTTCATGCGCTAAGAAAGCCGGTATCCACCTTTTTCATTTTATTTTCGTACGTTCAAGTTTGACTGAGTTTCTTACAAAAGTTGGTGGGACCCAATCGACCTATTTGTTGAAGATAAGGATTTATCCACTTCTGGTGGCGAATTAAAAAATGAGGACAGTTTGACTCAGACGGGAGTAATGAAAATGGCCTTAAAAACAAAACAATGTCAACGGAAACCTTTTATGGAAAAATAGATAACCTGAAGGGAAGACGGCCAATATAACACCCCACTAGTCGACGAGCCGAAAAGCAATGCACAATTGCTCACTTGGCATTTCCCACAAAAATACCAGCCTATGTAATTCGTTCACATTTTCCCATTGATGAAAGACAATATGTGGTGACAATGTTTCAAAACTAAGAGTGTTTTAACGCGCCTTTCAAAGGGGTTTCGGCTTGCAAGCTTTATTTTCATCCTTGGCGTTCCAACATAAATTTTAATTTGTTTAATTGTGATTGAATATGAATGATTTGTTTTTTATATATTTGCATTCGCGGACATCTATTGTGCCACAATCAGAAAACACGGTTGAGGTCCATCTCTACGATACTGTTTTCAGTTTCCGTGTTGCCAGATGTTTTAATTAAGGCCATCTATACTAACAGTGGGTGGTGCACTCGCTTAAATATGACCACTAGCTTAGCTCAGAATCATGTAGAATCGAGTAAGGAAGATTATTGGTGACACAAGCCGTGTATCAAAAGGTAAGGTTCATATCTTGGCTTACTAAAAGTTATCGATTTTTATTAGTGTTGAAAAATGCAGAAATATTAACGTCTTTAAATTCAAAACCCTGGATGTTATTGCTTCAGATCTTTGAAGCAAATGTTCAAAGAAATTTGGGGTTTCACGCAGTCAACATTATTAATTTTTGACTCCAATATGTACAAATTTCATAAATAAATAAAAAGCGTATCGTTGCTTAAAAGAACAATGAATTCAAAACCAACTTACAACAAAAACTAATTTAAACTTCCAGAAAAAAACGCAGTTATTTCGCTTTTAAAAAACTGTATAATATATATTTTTATTTAAAAAAAGACAGTCAGTCTTTGTGCAACAAATGTACATGGATAAATGCCGCGTTTACAATCGTTCCTCGCTTTGTTTTCCATTTTCTTTTATATATATACTCTCGTTATATTTTGGTTGTAAGTACCGTTTGGGGAGGGGGGATTTCTCTCGTGGTCGATTATATAATAGTAAATAATTTTATCTCGTTTCATTCGTTTCCGTTTAAGCGATACTATTTTGGTTCAAGTCCTTGTGTTTTATGTACATATTTAAACTAAATTACGAGCTACAAATTACTAGTTTGTGTGTTTTGTTTTGTGTGGGTGAATCTCGCTTTGAATTAAAAGTAAGTACATTGTGTGTGTGTTGTGTGTGGCGTGTGTTACAATAAATATCTCTAAGTTTAAGTATTCCTTAAGTGCTAGGATACATACATACAAAGCTGCTAGGCAGAGGGGGCGGCGGGGCGTGGTACGAAGGGGGTGGTGGCGCTTTAGTGGGAGGGGCGGGGAAGGCAGCTAATACAAATACCGGACTTCGGGAAATTAACTAACATGCATACACATATACATACACACAGGTCTGCTGGGTCAATTTTTCGATTTGGATAACGTAGTTTACTTTTCAAAATTCGTACTTTTGCTCATTAATGGTTAATTTTCTAAAAACCTATTTGAACCAATATTTTATTGGTTTGAAATATAGAACTCAAAATTAAAAAAAATAAATTTTACGTTAAATTGAATTGTTTTATAGTCTTTTTATCAAACTATCAGAGTATTTAAGACCCAGAGTGGCGCTTGAAATGCCTGAAAGTGAAATCCCAACAGACCCGTTGGACAAACCGATTATACATATACAGATACAAATAGGTATGGATACGGCTTAGGCTACGGTCTACAGCTAGGGCTAATGGCTACAGGAACTAGTGCTAGTGCTAACTCGTGAAGTTGTAGCTGCGCACCGCGCGACCGGGCGTCACCAACTCCACCTTGATGTTGGCCGTGGCCGTCACCTTGGTGGTGTTGCTGTCCGAGTGCGTCGTCTCCACCGTCACCTCCGGCTGCACCACGATGCTCTGCAGCTCCGGCGGGTAGGCCGTCGGGAAGGGGGCGGCGGCGTGGTGGGCGGGCCCTGGTGATGCGACTGCTGCTGCGCGGCGGCCTTGTGGTAGGCGGGGGGCGGGGCGGCGTAGGAGGCGGGCCGCGAATCCCGCGGCTGATAGCTCCAGTCGTTGGGCATCTGGATGGAGGAGTTGCTGGACTTCCAGGACTGCGGCTCCTCGGTGATCGTGGTCAGCGACGGGTCGTTGACGTCCTTGTGGTGGTGGTGGTGCGACTTCTGGCAGCTGCCTCGCGAGGAGCGGGATCCCTGCACCACGTACGACTTGCCCGACCTCTTGCTGCTGCGCACGGGCAGCGGCGAGGGCGTGGATATCCGGTCGGGGTGCTCCAGCGGCACCAGTTCCGCCTCCGGCCCCAGCATGCTCAGCAGGATGGGGAACACCACCAGGCTGTTGCAGGCGCCCACACACAGGACCACCAGCAGCAGCCAGCAGAAGTGCCGGATCACGAACTCGAACGGCGAGGTGGAGAGCATGAACACGGCCACTCCGGAGGTCAACATCCCATGGACCAGTGGTCCCAGGGCCATCTGCATGCTCAGCTGCACGCGACGCTGTCGGTTGCCCACGGATGTCATGAAGCCCTGTGAACGGAAAGGAGATGGGTAAGTAAATAGTAAATACAATGGTGGAACAATGATCCAAAGACTAGATTAGGGATCTTTGCTTATTTCCTTGTATGGATAGCACACTCACCAGTGAAATCAGCACATTGAAGCACAGCATCATGCCCACGCTGAGGATGAGTATGACGGCCGGGATGGCCGACAGCTTGATGCCCAGCAGGGTCATGGCCCCAAAGATCTGGGCCAGCGAGGCCAGCACGCTGAGGATCACCAGGACGGCGGACCAAACGGAGAGCAGGAGCAGGGAGACCAGGACCAGGGCGGCCAGGAGCACGCAGGCGAGGATCATGGCCAGGGAGGAGCGCAGGGTCATGTACTGCTCCCAGAAGATGAACGGAATGCCTGTGGAAGAACAACGAATTGCGGATTAGCTGGGGTCAATTTAGGTTGTGGCCGTTTCGAGACTCACCCGAGGGATAGTTGGGCAGCCCGAAGCCCTCGAACTTGACGCTCAGGTCGCGAATGTGACCTATCAGGGTCTTGATCTGCGAGGTGTCCGTCAGTCCGTGCAGGTAAAAGGGCATCTGAGCGTAGACCAGCGGCAGACTCTTGGGGATCTTTAGCTCGTACTCGGTGGGCTGGTGAAAATACTGGCGCGGTTCTGGATACAGTTTTCCCTGAAAATTAAGCGTTTCAATGAACAGTTAGTTATCGGTCTCATTACGGTCTCAATTGTTATTATTTCTAACATGTCGTCGCAAAATTGATTTTATTTTAAGTACAAATAACCTCGCATTTAATGGAAATTAGCTAAAAAAAAGTAGGCTAATAAGTTTTTATAGAAAAAACACTAAGTGCTTATAATTCCCAAGCAGTTATTACAGTAGGAATTCAATTAATATGCGTTTACAAAGCAAAAATGGTAGATATGGGAAAAATTATGTTCTGGTTTCTTTCCCACATATATTTAACGCAATCTTTTAGTCTAAGCATAAACAATAATTTCATGTAAACCCACCTGGGAGGCTCCGTAGGCGAAGACATCGTTGGTGGCCCATGCGGACAGGTAGTTGTAGAAGGCGCGCGGGTTGATGATGCCGTCGCTGTTGACCAGGCGATTGACCAGCACCAAGTCCTTGTCCACCGGATTGTCGACATGGCCGGTCTGCACGATTAGCTTGTAGGCCAGGATGGCATCGCTGCTGGCGTTGGGGAACCAGCACTCCTTGGTCAGCCGTCCGTCGCGGAGCTCCTCGTCGAAGACCTTCTGCAGATTGCTCAGCCAGTCGCTGAAGTGCAGCAGCCAGAAGTCCGGCAGCCCGCCGTTGTCGTTCTTGATCACGTGTGGCACCCGGACGAAGGAGTCGTGGTAGTCCCGCAGCAGCTGCTGCTGTGTGGGGTACTCAAAGTTTCCCTGGGTGACCGCGTACATGCTGTAGAAGCCGAACAGCCGGGTCTGGGCATCCAGGAACTTGTGCTCGTTGCTGTGCTTGGGCACCAGGTCGATGATGTCCAGGCCATCCTGCAGGCGCGTGGAGGCGTACAGGCTGGAGATGAGGGCCGCCAGGAAGCCCACCACGGCCAGGAACTTCACCCAGCTGCGCATGAGGAAGGGTGTGTAGTGGTCGAAGGCGAAGCTGGCCAGCGAAAAGGAGGCGATTGAGTGGTTCTGCCCGCTGCCTGCTGCCGCTGCCTGGGCCTCCCGCCCTCTGTTCCAGCAGAGGGTTCTGGGCCGGCAGGGGCACCCTGTTGTTGTTGCA